TGCGCAACACCTCATCCCTACCTCCAAGTTCAAAGTCACACTTAAAGGTCAAAAGTTAACTTAGTCTGTATTAGGTGTATGATCTAGAACTTCTTCGGTTTTTGAAATTACTAAGCACAAATAGTCACAATAATAAGACAATTTGTCAGGTACAACACCTGCACCCCTACCTCCATGGCCAAGATCACACTTAGAGGTTAAAGGTTAACAGAGTCTGTTATATGATATTTTTTGTGTCCCGTCCATAACTTCTTCATATATCAAGGGATTTTGAAAATACTTGGCACAAATAGTCACAATGATAAGATGATATGTCATGCGTAACACATGTGTCCCTACCTCCAAGGGCAAGGTCACACATAGAGGTCAAAGATTTATATAGTCTTTTATAGGGTATATTTTGTGTTCAGTCCAATACCTTTTCATAGATCAAGGGATTTAAAAAAAAACTTTACACAGATAATCACAATAATAAGATGATATGTCAGGCGCAACACATCGGTCCCTACCTCCAAGGTCACACTTAGAGGTCAAGGATTGACATAGTTTGTTATAGGGTATATTTCGTGTCCGATCTATAACTTTTTCATAATTCAGGGGATTTTGAAAATACTTGGCACAAATAGGAATATTAATAAGACGATATTTCATGCACAACACCTGCACCCCTACCTCCAAGGTCAAGGTCACACTTAGAAGTCAAAGGTTAACATGATAGATTTTTAAATTCCGTGTTTCATTTTACTAGTATTTCTTTGATAAATTTATTGTTGCATTTGCAGATCTAGCATTGATCATTATTTGGGACTGAAAGTCCTGGGATCCATACCTCAAAGTTATGGACAATTGCACAAATGATATGAGTGATGATATACATCATATATTTGAAGTTTTAAGTAAATATCTAATGAAATAAAGACTTAATTGTAAAAATACCATTTTTAAGGATTTTAAGTTAAATTAAAATTGAATATAGAGCTGACATTGCGATACATGACTATGCTTTATTTGATCTTTTATTTATTTATTCATTTTTAATAGTTGTCTGTTTCTAGAAATATTTTAATTATTGATATCTGGATTGTTGAATTTTGTAAATTGAAAACAAATTTTATGGTTACAGTTATATTTGACTACATGTTCATGTTATATCTAGTTGTTTTAAAGACCATGTAACGCATTTTTATGGTTTTATATAAGAAATCTGATGCTCATTTATCAATATAGTAAGTTTCAAAATTCATTCCTTGTAAAGATATTACCGAATTCTACATTTCATGTAAATATAAGGCAGGTTATTAGAATCATTTCCGATAAAGTCGCAGCCAGTTTTTTTTTCTCAGCCAGTTTTTTTTTTTTTGCTTTTTTTTCCAATAAATAATGAATGCAAAAATGAATTGATTTGAACGTTTAATAATGCATATAAACATTTGCTGAACATATTTAACATACTCTTAGTCGTTTGGATATTGTTTTAGAAGAATCATTATACACATATATAAAACTTCATCTGTAACTATTGGTTACCTCAATAGGTAGAGCGTTGGGCAGTGAATAGGGCGAACTGGATTCGATTCTCGGACGGTGCAGGTCACTTTCGTTGTAATTGATCATGAAATCCTTCCTACGTTCATTCGCACTGTATCTCTGCTCTAGCACGTACAGAGTTATAGTTCCTTGCTAAAGTGAAGGCAACAAGTACTGGTAAACTGCTTGACAGCCTGCCCAGGAACGATGCTGTGGCTGAACCGTGCTCTGGTAAATTCGATGTGGCTTACTGTCGTAATCCGGAGTGAAAAATACCAATACCACCACCACTATATAACATCCTGTATTACAAAATACAGAATCTTTAACTGTTACGTTAATTTCATATGTTTGTATTTATGTTTTTTGTATACATTGAAGGTAATAAAGTATCTATTTGCATGTATCTGTAAAACAATTTTATCTTTATGATATATAAACCAATGTTACATGTTTTATTTGTATTGCTGCAACAAGACAATAGCATGCATAAGTATTTTAACAAAAATATTGAAACGTCACAAGGTTCTAATGAGCATTTGGCAGAACGTGTCATAAATTTACAAATGCTTGGCGGTTCCATACATGTTCACTTTTTTATTGTAGATGGACCGAATGATTGTGAAATAAGTGTCAAGTCGCCTGTCACAGTTAAAGTAGGAAGTATTTTACCATTAATCAAGTGCAAATCTGATTGTTCTCCCTCTTGTACGTATAAATGGACGAATGCATCTTCTGGTAGCATTATTTCAGCAAATGGAGACTTTGAGATAGATTCAATTACTAGATACCATACTGGTAATTACACATATGAGTGCGGAAATTCAGCGACTGAAATAAGAGCAACGCATACGGAAAGCTTACAAATAATCGTTTGGTGTAAGTTTATTTGTCTTTCACTGTATTATGCTCGAAACAAAATTTAACTTTTACGAAACAGGTATTGAAATAAGTGCAAATTATTTTTGTACGTAACAAACAGCTTAACAACGCTGACTACGAGACTACAGCAGGTTTGACAAGACTCTTCTTAGTAATTATATCAATTTATTTTTATGCTTTTCAGTGGATAACTGATTTATCCTTGAAAATATATTTGATAATTTCACAGTGAAAATTATCAAAATATAATTTTACACTTTTCAATGACGAAACTACTTTTTAAAGTTTTTCCCAATGTGGTACCTCAATTTTATTTTGCTGACAATTCTGACATTGCCAGGACTGTTAAGAGAAACATTAGGCTGTTTAGAGAAACGCAAAGCTAAACTTGATAAATAACTTGAATTTCAAAGTAATAAAAAGAAGAAAACTACGTTCAATTCATTCAAGTTACCAATCACCTAATATCGTCTCTAAATGTTTTGTTTCATTTAACAGTCTGAAAAATACAATTCATTCCATATGCAAAAATGCTCTTGATGACATTTGGGCATATTTAAGTATCCTTCGAGCAATAACTGCCTTATGCAATATGAAAACTTGAAAAGCAATGACAGCCATCAGCCCGAAGAATAAGTAATCAACCCAGCGTTCGTAAGGCAGCCTTTCAACAATTCCATGTTTTCAAATTTCCTAGCCGCTTTTTTAATACATCTGCCAACACTTATTTATTGTCTGTAACAATCCTAAAATAAATTTTCTTTCTTCATATAAAAAATGTATGACTAACAAATCCTATCCAAATGGTATCCCTCTGAATCAAACAATTATTTTCGTCCCGTGAAATATACAACTTTTAAAAATGGTGGCCGCTTACATTTCACAAAGCCAGGCCTAATATGAATTCGCAGTAAGTAACGGAAATAAGGTCGGATGGTGTGACTCTTTTGTCTTCTAGAATTGTTTGTTTTTATTATTAAAACAAGCGAATATTCATATCTTTTTATAAAATGAAAATCTCATTTAATGTTGATTGTCGAACTTATTTTTGAGCCCAAGACTTTTTGTATTTTATGACTAATAGAGGCTACCAGTGGGGAAAACAAATTTAAATATCAAAGTTAATATTAAAGAAATTTCGTTTTAACATGTTTTTAAGCATAAAATAAAAAGAAACTTCATTTTTTTGTTGTGTAAAATGTAATTTTATTTCATCTCGTGAGAATACTGTTTTTAAAGCCCACTCGATGAAATTAAATTTCATCTTGCACACAAGCAAACAAATATCCTCTACAGTATGTTTACAAGCCTCGGTATTTCATTTTTACAATTTTTGTTTCTCTGCATGGATTTATGCATCGTTATTTACGTTTTGTTGTACTTAAACGCTAGAGAAAATCATTTGAATAATTGAAAAGGTATTATTCGGATTGATAATGAAAACAAGCAAGTTTAGCTTAGTCTTTAGTAGCATTTTTGAGGATCAAGAAATTGGTTTTGATTAAAAACTTCTTGTACTATCAATGTATTTAGCTTAGCTTTTTATTGCAGTTCATACGATAACTTTCATGTACGACAATACAGCCTTTAACTTAAAAATAAAACAATAGGCATTACCTGTTTATGATTAGATTCACTTCTCTTACACTATTGTAAAGTTATATGATAAGTTGTCACGCTTTATTCTTTTTCTGTAATATTTTCATTTTTATGCGCCGAAAAGTATTTCAAGTGTATAATGTGTTCCCCTATAAATATCGCGCCCACTTTGTATAAATTTGAACTGAAGAAAAGAAAATTAAAATTACTTCTTGAATAAGCGAGCGATATGTAGAGAGCTTGTGTAAGCTTCCCCGGATGGATAGAAGTCTAAAATAGAAAAATACAGAATCCCTAAATACAGCCCAACACGACAAAATTGAAAATTTTGCAGGCTCTGTTTAATTGACCCTGTTTATGGACGGTATTTGAAAGTGCAAGTTACTGTCCACGCCCCATAGCACTGGCTTAAGCAGAATTCAACATTTAAACACGAAAGCTGGTGAAATTTTGAATTTAGAGACATTAGCAGATGTGTTCATACGGCGATTATCATGGAACTTTCAATGTGACACAGTAGTGCCATTCCATGAAAAGCGGCGTCTGGTCCCCAAGTAAAAGAATGTGTGTGCCCTAAACGAAAAAACAATGGGCGGAACTAAATTAAATGTATTTTTGAAAGGGGATCTGAGGTTATGAAGCCCGCGTGTCACAGATAAGACGTCAAAAGACTAATTTAAAAAGCAGGCAACATATCCTAAGGGTGATTATACAGTATTCAAGTAGGAATTCTGGAACCACCCACGTTGAAAAAAGGCCAAATGGAAGAAACTAAAAGTACCACTTAGTCACACTTAGTTATTCAAAATGCATCAAAGTGAAAATCCTTTTTAATAACTGTGTTTTGCTACATCTGACAATATATATCAAAAAATTAGAGAAAGTGTATAATACGAACCTTTTTCATTCTTATTGGATGCTTTGTTAGTTTACCAGCAATGTTGTTTTTCAATGGTACATATTTGTTTGTAATGCTATTTCAATATTTACAATATTCCAGATACAGAGTTCCGTATTAAGGGATATGCTAACACAACGGATGTAACTGTGAGTGAAGACGACACAAATATACGATTTATTTGTAAATTGATAAATTACAAAAGCCCATCAATACAGATTATGTTCAACAATTTTAGTCTAAACGAGCAGCACAATTCTAGCGTTCTAAACTTTACACGTAAGAGTGTAACATGTTTCGACGCTGATGTATGTACACACGTGCAAAGACAACAGTAAACAAGAAGCCTGGCTAGGATCATCAATTCGTTTATTTGTCAAATGTAAGTACCTATTTTTGCATATTCTCAACTTGGTCACAATTTCCATGGTCAGTTAATATGTCATATAACTAAATGGACCTATATCTACTCGGAATTATGAGTGAGAAACGCAATCTGATCATAGGGACCGGTAATTACGCTATTATCAGTTCCTTTGCAATTTTTAAAAAAAATAATATTTGTCTCAGGGTTGGTCAATTTTTTAAGCTAACGGATGTCGGGTTAGAACACCTTGCTGAAGGATGTAAAGCCTGGTAAGATAACGGATGTCTGGTTGAGATTATCTTACAGAAAGATGTCAAGACTGAAAAGAGAATACTTTAACGACAGTACAAGATTGATTCTGCATTAATTGATTTTGAATTGATTTTCACTATGCAAAAGATAGCAAATACATATTCACATCAAATGTAATGTTTTCAATTTTAGCTAATGCAGTTATAAACTATAAATGATAAACATTTAAATGAGGAGAATAACTCAATTAATACTCAGATTGCCTTTCATGATAGGTGGTTTCCTTGAATTTTAATTGATAACTGAAATACCAGATGTAAAAAGGACAAACCTGTTCCCATGTCTCGAGTTCTTTTAAAGTATTATACATATATTAACATTTCAAAGTGTTTCTGTAAATTCATGATGCATCTATGATTTTATAGGTGCACCTCGTCCTCTGCAGAAGGTAACAAGTCCAATGTATGTTCCCGTAACACTTAGCTTCACAACACTAGCGTACCCTGAACCTGGTCCTAAAGGATTCCTGTGGTACAAGGAAAATGGGACCGATTGGATACCTTTGTTAAGTAATTCAGATGTTCAGATATCTTCTTCAGGCCTTCAGTCAAACATTACTATATTTAACGTGTCGCTGTCGGATTATGGAACATATCGATTAACTGTTACAAATGAAGTTGGAATTAACAAGCAAATGATACGCCTTGTTAAGAAAGGTAAGTTGATGTCACATAAAAAAAATATTTTAATTTTTAATGTTTGGTGCTATAAATACGACAGTAAATATATCCGAAACTGTTCTTTTTCGTTTTGGTCTTAATCACACCAACTCAAACTTAATATTCTTCATGTATTTATAATATTAACCTGTGAAATAGTGAAAAACACATTAACAAGTATTTCTTATTTTCATAAAATGAAATGTCAGTGATTTACAATCTATATAATCTTAATAATTTATGAAGAAATATAAATTGTATGTGGCCATCTCCTCCGAATCGAGATTTAAAATGACGACACATACCACATGGTTTTGGCCACAATGGTTTATGTAGCTACTTAACGTGTCTGTAGAATAATCAAACTTGTAGGTTGCCCTTTGATCATGCCCATCTAATCCGTTTATTTAATGTTATATCTACCTTTACTATATTCTCTGAAGCCAATACATGACATAAACATGTATAATTGACAAAACCATTAGTCCAATGATAGATATATAACATAAATTCTCATTCATCAAAATATTTTAATCGTTTAAGACTCTACACAGAAAGAACTTAGAGAAAGTGGTACCGAAGGTGATGCATACAGCAGCTGGATGATAGTTGGTATTGTTTGGGTTTTCCTCACTATAGCCATCGGATTCTACGCAACCGTATAACCTTTTTGTGGAGAAAAGCTGTATCGAAAGGTATAATCGCTATGTTTTTGGCTTGCAGCCACGGCTGCAAGCCATTTATTTTGGATAAGTTGTTCCGGTTAGGTGGTTGCCTGCTTACATTTGTTAGTGCATGAATAAACGGGAAACCAGCTGCAATCGTGCCAATTATAACTTTTCGGCCCTTTCCGTCACTCTTCGGATTAATGATAAAAGCCGAGGTAGTTCCGATTGCAATCGTGACAATTCGGGCGATTCCGTCATACTGCGGAATCAGGCGGAAATCTAAGCTATTTTAGTTACTTCGGTAATCCCAGCTTGTTTATATAAATAGGATTTCTTTTTTTACTTGATTCCGTTTCAATTCTTTTTCAAGACGCAAAAGTTAGTTTCTTTTATACATTGTAATTGGTTTTTGTCTTTATTAGTTTTAAACAATAGAGAATGGTTACTGTAGTAGTATTCCGTCTCCAAAGGGCGGTCCTGCTTACCAAAAGATCGTGACCGGATCACGCAGAATATTAGTGCATGATCAAGTTATATTTAGATCTACTGACAGAGTTTTAACGTCTTAGTGAGGTAATCTACAAAAAGCCCATGCATATCATTAACCTTACCACGTGCTGATCTCCTGTGTTGTCGGTATATCTGTGATCGGAGTAACATAGTTGATACATGCTTAAAAATTGGTACCACGTAACGAAGTCTTTTAGTGCATTTACTTGTCTCTAAAGCTGCTATATAAATGAAATTAGCAACTGCCAAAACGAAGGACTCCCTCTGCGAAAAAAGTGGAAATGACATGTGCATACTTGTTTCCCCTCAGTATGATCTCCACGTGAGAGCCAATGTTAGTATTTTTACGATTGATTATTTTCTTTATTAGTTTTATACAAAAGAGAATAGATTTCGAAACGTTTTTGACAAAAAAACATTCGTTTTTACAAAAAAAATTGCTACTGTTATCGTCAACATGTTCCCGTTCAGTTACAATCAGTGGACTTCTGGTCCCTATTTGGTCCAAATTTGCACGCATAACACTGGTTCTCAAACAAATGGGCACAGGTGCTCGTCCAGTCTTGGGCTTACCCTACCTATCCCTTTAAAAGTGAGTTCTTTTTTTTTTTTCGAGAAAAAAAACAAACTAAATTAACCCTTTATGATATACAAATACTGTAATTCCAAAAAATTGTGATAATAAATTGAAACAAAAAAAATGTAAAGGGAAGGGATGATGGCACAACTGAGCATGCCTTTCCTTTTAAAAGGAAACTTTATTTAGTTTGATGACAGAAATCATTTCATAACAAAAGCTTCATAATAAATTTATTTTTATTTATTTTATTTATTAAAGCAAAGAAGAGAAAATAAACTACAAGTTTATTAAAGTATATTAGTTTATATAAGTTCACTTCTTTATAAAGGTGCGAGGGAGCCAACGGGAGAATCAACAGCACAAACGTAAGTATACATAATTTCGTTTTAAGTTGTTTTATTCATATACATGTATACATATGAAATATCAAAAGTTTATCATACCTGTTTTTCATGTATTGAAGTGTCCAAATATTACAGTTCTTCAGTGACGATGGAAGCTTTAATATTGTAAAAATGTGTTTTCCTGTAAATTACTAATTTCCTAGTGCTGAAGGCTTATCCTACTAACATCTATTTTTTGTGTCGCCTTGAAAAGGTGACATATAGGGGTTACTTTTGTCGGCGGCGTCGGCGGCGTCTGTGTCGGCGTCGTTGTCGGCGTCGGCGTCCCCTAAAGCTTGTCCGGAGCATAACTCACTCACTATAAGTCTGATTGACTTCAATCTTGGTATGCATGCTTCTTTTAACCACCCGAAGTGCAGTGCACAAGGACCGGTACTCTGCAGTTCTTATATTTTTGAGTTATTGCCCTTTGTTAATTTTCATACTTTAATTCTGTCCAGGCCATTTTTCTTCAACTAAAATAGTTATGGACTTGAAACTTCATAGGATGATAAATCTCATTAAGAGAAAGTGCAGTGCACAAGAACCGGTACTCTGCACTTCCTATTTTTTGAGTAATGGCCCTTTGTTAATTTTCATACTTTATTTTTGTCCGGGCCATTTCTCCTAATGTATAAAAGCCATGGACTTGAAACTTCATAGGATGATAGGTCTCATTAAGAAGAAGTGCAGTGCACAAGCACATGTACTCTGCATTTCTTATTTTTTGAGTTATTGCCCTTTGTTTATTTTCATACTTTAATTTTGTTCGGGCCATTTCTCCTTAAGTATAACAGCTATGGACTTGAAACTTCATAGGATGATAGGTCTCATTAAGAAAAAGTGCAGTGTACAAGAATCGGTACTCTGCATTTCTTAATTTTTGAGTTATGGCCCTTTGATAATTTTCATACTTAATTTTTGTCCAGGCCATTTCTCCGAGTATTAAAGTTATGGACTTGAAACTTCATAGGATGATAGATCTCATTAAGAAAAAGTGCAGTGCATAAGAACTGATACTCTGCATTTCTTATTTTTTGAGTTATTGCCCTTTTTTGATTTTCTTACTTTATTTTTGTCCTGGTCATTTCTCCTCAAGTATAAAAGCTATGGACTTGAAACATCATAGAATGTTAGTTCTTATTGATAAGAAGTGCAGTGCACATAAACTGCTGCTCTGCACTTATTATTTTTTTAGTTATTGCCCTTTGTTATTTTTCATATTTCATTTTTGTTCTGGCCATTTCTCCTAAACTACATTGTTCACAAGGCGACACATCCGACTCGCAGACTTCTAGTCATTTCATATAAATGGAATACGATGTATAATACATCGCCTATATAACTTTTTCAGCACGTTCAATAAACAAAACACTTATAACTATGTATTTGTTTCAGAACGTATGTGAACACAGATGTTGCCGCAGCGCATGTAGAGGTTGACAGCACACATGATCAACACATCACTAAAGCTGAGTCTGTAAATCTATCCACAGACCTAGCTCATTATTCTAAGGATGATAAATCGACATATGAAGTCCTTAAAGGAAACTGATAGAACAGCTAATAACAAACTCGTGATCTGAATTGTACAAAATTCAAGATAATATATTTGTTATAAACAATACTTTTGAGAATGAAAATGTGTTGGGACAATGGTCCTTTATTAGATTGACTGGTGAAATTTTAGGCTATTTTCATAGAAATCAGAACAGGTAGACCCCATGTGGTCTCTTAAGACAGATCGGACTGTACTATTAACTGTAAAGCAAATTCTAATTTTAATTGTAATTTACTGTTTGTGTATCATTTCCAGCATTTCCGGACTGATATAGTGGCAAAGTCCACATTAAGTAAAATGTAGGGATGTCATTCGGAGTCCGGATATCTGAACGTTCGGATCAGGATTTGGTGTCCGGAGCCGATTTTCGGATCCGGATGTTCGTTTTAAATATTTCAGAATATTGAGAAAATGTGATAAATGCATGCGTTAAGATAATCGACCTGGACATGGTGTTGACACCATATTGTATATTGTACTAAAATGCATCAAGCACAAGAAAAAAATTTGTATGTGTCCTTTAACCCTAAAGCTTGTGAAATGGGCCATTGCGTTTGCTTATCTTGGAATTTCAAACATTCCACTCAAAGTTTAACAAGATATATCAAAAGTGCGCAGCCAACATTATAAAACCTCGTCGCTCTTTTTTTTTTTTTCTTTTTTTGTTTTTTTTTTTTTTTTTTTTTTTTTTTTTTTTTTTTTTTTTTTTTTTTTGCTTGCTTTTCATACTATGCATAAATAGTTGTTTGTTTGTTCAATTGGGTTTTAAGTGCAGCTCTATATCTATTTATTGATGTTGCTTTAACATTTAGCTTTATTTCATTCTGTAAATCCGGTATTTTTCGCGATGTTTTAATTTTCGCTATTATTCGCGAATCGACCGCGTCGCGAATTCATGATGCCGCGTAAATTTTATAACGAAACATACATTATAAAAATTTAATCTGATCACAATTCAATTTTTTTTAATTGTTATTAAGTTTTATAATGAATATAATAACTGAATGTTAATAGTTAATATGTGCAATGTTTTATTAACATCATAACAAAGATATGAAGGTTGAAGATTTTCCCCATTCCTTTTTCATCATGAATACCTGACGTGAAACATAAAAAGAGACAAATTTTGAACTTTACAGTACAGACAAATGTCAAAATCTGGAAACAAAGTGATCCCTCGGAAGCATTAATCACAACAAAATAACATAAGAATTGCAGACTCGGTTTGATTGAGTCTGTACATGAAGGATAATGAATAAGTGCAACATCCCTCACGCCCCCTAGCACCGGCTTGAGCGGTACTCAATTCTCAACACTTAATAATGCTTGCATCCCGAAGGACCAGAAAAAATATAACAACACTGAAGTGAAGTACGGGGCAACATTTTACGGCTGCCACACAACACTTGACACTTCTGTTGTGAAGTATAAAAATCTGGAAACAAAGTGATCCCTCGGAAGCATTAATCAAAACAAAATTAAATAAGAATTGCAAACTCGGTTTGATTGAGTCTGTACATGAAGGATAATGAATTAGTGCAAAATCCCTCATATCCCCTAGCATATATTGTTTATTACGGTAAAACAGTGATCAACGGACAATTTTCTTACGGTAGATGAAGTATTATAAACAAGTATATAACACCTTCTTACAAACATTTAACGATATGTCAAACACGCTATTTAAAAACAAAAACAAAAAATTTGACAAATGATTAGAAAAACCGTTCATAATAAGTCAATTGCATATGCAGTATGTAGGTACATTTTGTATATAAAATAAATAAATAAAAACCGTCTCTTATTAACACCAGTAACATTTACCTTGCAAAGGAGCGACACAGTATAGGAACTAACTTCAACGTACCCTGTTATATTGCTGAAATAAAATTCAAATAATCGCGAATATAAATTGCTGACCCTTCCATCGCGAATTCATGAATACGCGAAATAATCCGGGGGTAGGGTTTTCGCGAAATAAAGATCACGCGAATATAAAGTGATTTACAGTAGTAAAGTAAGTGCAGCGTTATATCTATTTATTGATGTTGTTTTAACATTTGTCTTTATATCATTTTGTTAGTAAAGTAAGTGCATTTTTATATATATTTATAGATGCTGCTTTAACATTTGTCTTTAAATGATTTTGTTAGAAAAGTAAGTACAGCTTTACATCTATTTAATGATGTTGCTTTAACCTTTGTCTTTGTACCCTTTTGTTAGTTGGGTAAGTACTGCTTTATATCCATTTATTGATGTTGTTTTAATATTTGTCTTTATAGCATTTTGTTAGCTGAGTAAGTGCAGCTTTATATCTTTTTAATGATGTTGCTTTAACATTCGTCTTCATATAATTTTGTTAGTTGAGTAAGTGAAGCTTGATATCTATTTGTTGATGTTGCTTTAAAATCTGTATTTATGTCATTTTAATAGTAATGTAAGTGCAGCTTGACATCTATTTAATGATGTTGCTTTAATATTTGCCTTTATTTTTGTAAAGTAATTGCAGCTTTATATCTATTTATTATACCCCCAACACAAAATGTGTGTGTGTGTGTGTGGGAGGGGGGGCTATAATGGATTCGTTTTGTCGCGTCGATCAGTCCGTCCGTCTCCATTTTCGTGTCCGCTCAATAGATCCTATACCAATTGAAGGATTTTCTTCAAACTTGGCTCAAATGTTCACCTCAACAAGGAAATGTGCAGAACTCATGTTGCCCATGTGTCAGCTCAAGGTCAATGTCACAATTGAAGGTCAAATATCAAACAATCAAATATTAGACAGTATATCGTGTCCGCTCTGTAAGTCCTTCATTATATGAAAGATTTTTTTTAAACATGGCTCAAATGCTCACCACAATAAAGGGATGTGCAGAACCCATGTTGCCCATTTGTCAGCTCAAGGCAAGGTCACAATTGAAGGTCAAATATCAACAAATCAAATATTAGACAATATGTCGTGTCCGCTCTGTAAGTCCTACAATAATTGAAGGGTTTTCTTCAAACTTTGCTCAAATGTTCACCTCAACAAGGGGATGTGCAGAACCCATGTTGCCAATGTGTCAGCTCAAGGTCAAGGTCACAATTGAAGGTAAAATATCAAACAAACAAATATAAGACAGTATGTCGTGTCCTCTCTGTAAGTCCTACAATAATTGAAGGGTTTTCGTCAAACTTTGCTCAAATGTTCACCTCAACAAGGGGATGTACAGAACCAATGTTGCCCATGTGTCAGCTCAAGGTCGATCACAATTGAAGGTCAAATATCAAACAATCAAATATTACACAGTATGTCTTGTCCGCTCTTTAATTAAGTCCTTCACTAATTGAAAGATTTTCTTCAAACTTGGCTCAAATGTTCACCTCAACAAGGGGACGTGCAGAACCCATGTTGCCAATGTGTCAGCTCAAGGTTAAGGTCACAATTAAAGGTCAAATATTTAAAAAATCATGCCCATGTGTCAGCTCAAGGTCAAGGTCACAATTGAAGGTCAAATATCAAACAATCAAATATTAGACATTATGTCTTGTCCGCTTTGTAAATCCTACACTAATTAAAAGTTTTTCTTCAATCTTGGCTCAAATTCTCACCTCAACAAGGGGATGTGCAGAACCCATGTCACCCATTTGCCGGATTAAGGTCATGGTCACACTTGAAGGTCAAAAATTGACTTAGAAAATATTCTTAAATTTTAACTGGTATTTGAATATTTCTGAAACTAGAAAAGGTATTTGCTTGAAACTTAAAATATGTATGTAGTGTCACAATTTAGATATGCTGGTCAAATTTCAAAACTCTGTATTGCATTTTAATAAAATTATGCCCCTTTTTAAGTCTTCAAATTTACATACAATCAAATATTAGACAATATGTCGTGTCCGCTCTATAAATCCTATAATAATGGAAGAATTTTCTTCAAACTTTACTCAAATGTTCACCCCTACAGGGCAATGTGCAGAACCCATCTTACCCTTGTGCCAGCTTAAATTATTTTGTTGAATGTAACATTATGTCAGAATATATCTGAACTTTTAAATGGTTGATATGTAAATTATTATGTTTAAATAAAACATTATGTGTATAGAGCATTGAAATTTTCAAAATATGAACATATTTTTATTTAAAGAGTTTTTTTAATGTTTTTAGCCCGTAGCGAGTGTTCAATTTTGTATAATTGTGTAACGATGTGCCTTTGTTTTACAATTTTTGCTCATTACAATGAATGTTCCATTTTTGCAAGAGAAATAATGTGTTTTAAATATTTAAAAAATTGTAATAGATCTGTATATTTAAGTTTTTCATATTTTGTACAAAGGTTTGCATGAATCTGTTGAAGCAGACGACATTTTTCTAGGATAGCTTATAATTACAGGTGTACGAGTATTTTAAACTTTCATATTTAAGTTTGATTAATATCAGAAATTTACAGGTGGTACTTTCTAATAGATGAAATATAGAAATAGGGAGATGAACGAAACCTACATACGTTCAGTTAGATGAAAGAATTATGTATCTTTATACTTTATCATTCTTTGAAAACCAATATAAGCAAAACAAACTTTCAGATGTCATATTTTGATCCTATGTACAAAAAATTGCACTTCCAATCCACGTAAATCGCCAAAAAGAGGTCAAAAATAGCCCTAAATGCTTTAATCACGCAGTAGAAATATGGTGATGAATAGTGCAAAAACAGACATAATATTCACATGACATATGAATAATTACTTGAATTTCTTAAAATCTTAGTATGTTTCCCCAAGTTTGATTTTATCAAAATAGTTTGGCATGAAGCTCTAAAACTAGAATATGCAATCACTTCACGTGTCGTAGGTCTTTGACAAAGGTTTAGATGTCAATGGTATTGAAATACATGTCATACCTCCATCCTCACAGTTAAATTAAATGACCCGATGTCAGTGAATCGATGAGAAAATTCGGTACCGTAACTATATTCCCTCATTGAACCATCTGGCTATCTACGATACTAAACATTTTTTTCGTTTGTTATTTTGAGAACTTTTTCGGGAAAATATTTGAATATCGACCCGATGGCTTTTAGTATGGGTTCAATGTTGGGATGCTGGATGGTATTCCAGTTTTCCACAATAGATAAAGTTATAATATTAGGACATATAATTTTGCGAATTTCACATGTAGATCATACCTTTTGTCATATATTATGAATAATGGCCAAACTCATGAGTAGCAAATAGGTGTTCAGTATTTTAGGTACACAGGTGATCAGTATTTTTGGTAATGCTACATTAATTCTGTTAATCTGAAAATATTTACACACATTGTTAAAATTGAGTTTGTTTTCTTTTTGATTAACCTTAGTGTAACAAGTAAACCGTGTGGCGACATAACCGAATGGTTAACACGTCGGACTAGTAATCTAATGATCGCTAACCGCATGGGTTCAAACCCCGTCAAGAGCAAGTCGTTGTTTCCTTGAGTAAGAAACCTTACACTCATTGCTTAGTACTGGTTGGTCCCAGCAACGGATTTGAAAGTGTGTCTATAAGCTTATATCTTCATACACAATCGAACTAAATAAATTATGTTTAAACCAAACCGTTCTTAGTTTTAAAAGTGACTCAAAATAT